CATCAATGGAAATTAGTCACTGACTTTTTTGGGGGTTATCGTATGTAATCTACACTGTATGATAATTTATGGAACTATTTGTGTGTACCTATACCTGAATAAACTTATTAGCACAAGATAAAACAGGGTAATGAAAGCCACATGCTATATCCGAGTACTATGTGACCCATGCTACACCAGTTGAGGATGGGCCCTATACTAGTGTGGTGTAGCATGATGTGGAGGCCAGTGGCATGCAGAGGGGGGAAGCCGAAGGGGCGGTGGCCCTGGGCATCCAAATGGGGGGAGGTCATCCAATTAGAGGGAAATAAGATAGTGATTTTGAAATTTCAGCAGTGATCAATCAATTTTTGGAGGCTCACCACACTACAGAGGCAGTGGTTAGCCCTTTATTCCTTTGACATGGTGCACTCTTTCTGTCCAGAGAAAATGGTGCCCCCCCCCCCCCCCAGTTGAAGATGAAGAGAGGAATTAAAAAAGGAATGTTTAGACTTTGTAAATTATGATAATGTGGCAGCCATTCAGTTATATGATGAAATTATTGATTTTGTGATGCTCCTTCGAAGTGGAGGGAATAAATTCCCCTGATCCTAAAGATGCTCTGGAGTCTTTACTGCAGTATGGGAGGGATGTCTTTCCGACGCTGCTTCATATAGATTACTGCTTACAATCGCATTTTCAGTCGCAAGTTGTGAAAGATCATTTTCAAAACTGAAATTAATAAAAACTTATCTGCGGTCTTGAATGCCACAGGAACGACTGACCAACCTGGCTTTAATAAGCATTGAAAAAGAATTTCTCACAGCTTATGTAAAAAGTGAAGTAGTTAGTGTTTTCTGACAGGAGGTATCATTTGGGGAAATGAACTTAATAAATTGGGTTGATTTATATTTAAATCGAATAGTGTCTATTTCATGTTTCATCTGTGTTTACATATTCAAAATATCTCCTCGTAATATTTCTCAGTACTAGGCCTTCTACTCGAATCTTTGGGGCATACAATCAAAGAGTTGGCCCCGGGCATCACTAGACCTTTGCACACGCCACTGATGGAGGTCCACCAGGTGTGATGTGATGTGGAGGTCCACCAGGTGTGATGTGATGTGGAGGTCCACCAGGTGTGATGTTGATGTGGAGGTCCACCAGGTGTGATTGATGTGGATGGTCCACCAGGTGTGATGTGATGTGGAGGTCCACCAGGTGTGATGTGATGTGGAGGTCCACCAGATGTGATGTGGAGGTCCACCAGGTGTGATGTGATGTGGAGGTCCACCAGGTGTGATGTGATGTGGAGGTCCACCAGGTGTGATGTGATGTGGAGGTCCACCAGGTGTGATGTGATGTGGAGGTCCACCAGGTGTGATGTGATGTGGAGGTCCACCAGGTGTGATGTGATGTGGAGGTCCACCAGGTGTGATGTGATGTGGAGGTCCACCAGGTGTGATGTGATGTGGAGGTCCACCAGGTGTGATGTGATGTGGAGGTCCACCAGGTGTGATGTGATGTGGAGGTCCACCAGGTGTGATGTGATGTGGAGGTCCACCAGGTGTGATGTGATGTGGAGGTCCACCAGGTGTGATGTGATGTGGAGGTCCACCAGGTGTGATGTCATGTGGAGGTCCACCAGGTGTGATGTCATGTGGAGGTCCACCAGGTGTGATGTCATGTGGAGGTCCACCAGGTGTGATGTCATGTGAGGTCCACCAGGTGTGATGTCATGTGGAGGTCCACCAGGTGTGATGTCATGTGGAGGTCCACCAGGTGTGATGTCATGTGGAGGTCCACCAGGTGTGATGTGATGTGGAGGTCCACCAGGTGTGATGTGATGTGGAGGTCCACCAGGTGTGATGTGATGTGGAGGTCCACCAGGTGTGATGTGATGTGGAGGTCCACCAGGTGTGATGTCATGTGGAGGTCCACCAGGTGTGATGTCATGTGGAGGTCCACCAGGTGTGATGTCATGTGGAGGTCCACCAGGTGTGATGTCATGTGGAGGTCCACCAGGTGTGATGTCATGTGGAGGTCCACCAGGTGTGATGTGATGTGGAGGTCCACCAGGTGTGATGTGATGTGGAGGTCCACCAGGTGTGATGTGATGTGAGGTCCACCAGTGTGATGTGATGTGAGGTCCACCAGGTGTGATGTGATGTGGAGGTCCACCAGGTGTGGAATGTGATGTGGAGGTCCACCAGATGTGATGTGATGTGGGGTCCAACCAGATGTGAGTGTGGGAGGTCCACCGAGTGGATGTGGGTCCACCAGTGGATGTGATGTGAGGTCCACCAGGTGTGATGTGATGTGAGAGGTCCACCAGGTGTGGGCCACTACTGTCCAGTGTAGCTTGGGCCACAGCATAAGGTGTGAGGCCAACATATGTAATGGCCACAGCAGGTGCTGTGGGCCACAGCATGTAGGTGGGTCACAGCAGTGTAGCATGGGCCACAGCAGTAGGGTGGGCCACAGCAGTGTAGCGTGGGCCACAGCACGTGGTAGGTGGGCCACAGCAGGAGGTGGGCCACAGCACGGTAGGTGGGCCAGAGCACCGAGGTGTGGGCCACAGCAGTGTAGCTTGGGCCACAGCAGTGTAGTGTGGGCCACAGTACTGAGGTATGGGCCACAGCATGTAGCTGGGTCACAGCAGTGTAGGTGTGGGCCACAGCATGAGATGGGCCACAGCAGTGTAGGGTTGGGCCACAGCAGTGTAGGTGTGGGCCACAGCAGTGTAGGGTGGGCCACAGCAGTGTAGGGTGGGCCACAGCAGTGTAGCGTGGGCCACAGCAGTGTAGCGTGGGCCACAGCAGTGTAGCTTGGGCCACAGCAGTGTGGCGTGGGCCACAGCAGTGTAGCGTGGGCCACAACACTGTGTGGGCCACAGCAGTGTAGTGTGGGCCACAGCACTGAGGTGTGGGCCACAGCACTGAGGTGTGGGCCACAGCACTGAGGTGTGGGCCACAGCACTGAGGTGTGGGCCACAGCAGTGTAGCTTGGGCCACAGCAGTGTAGCTTGGGCCACAGCAGTGTGGCATGGGCCACAGCACTGAGGTGTGGGCCACAGCAGTGTAGCATGGGCCACAGCAGTGCAGCGTGGGCCACAGCAGTGTAGCTTGGGCCACAGCAGTGTAGGGTGGGCCACAGCAGTGTGGCGTGGGCCACAGCAGTGTAGCGTGGGCCACAACACTGTGTGGGCCACAGCACTGAGGTGTGGGCCACAGCAGTGTAGCTTGGGCCACAGCAGTGTAGCTTGGACCACAGCAGTGTGGCATGGGCCACAACAGTGTAGCGTGGGCCACAGCAGTGTAGCGTGGGCCACAGCAGTGTAGCGTGGGCCACAGCAGTGTAGCGTGGGCCACAGCAGTGTAGCGTGGGCCACAGCTGTGTAGCGTGGGCCACAGCAGTGTGGCGTGGGCCACAGCAGTGTGGCGTGGGCCACAGCAGTGTGGCGTGGGCCACAGCAGTGTGGCGTGGGCCACAGTGTGGCGTGGGCCAAAGCAGTGTAGCATGAGCCACAGCAGTGTAGCGTGAGCCACAGCAGTGTACCGTGTGCCACAGCACTGAGGTGTATGCCACAGCAGTGTAGTGTGGGCCACAGCTCTGAGGTGTGGGCCACAGCAGTGTAGCGTGGGCCACAGCACTGAGGTGTGGGCCACAGCAGTGTAGCGTGGGCCACAGCAGTGTGGCGTGGGCCACAGTAGTGTATCATGAGCCACAGCAGTGTAGCGTGGGCCACAGCACTGAGGTGTGGGCCACAGCAGTGTAACGTGAGCCACAGCAGTGTAGCGTGGGCCACAGCACTGAGGTGTGGGCCACAGCAGTGTAGCGTGGGCCACAGCAGTGTAGCGTGGGCCACAGCAGTGTAGCGTGGGCCACAGCACTGAGGTGTGGGCCACAGCAGTGTAGCGTGGGCCACAGCACTGAGGTGTGGGCCACAGCAGTGTAACGTGGGCCACAGCAGTGTAGCGTGGCCACAGCAGTGTAGCGTGGGCCACAGCAGTGTAGCGTGGGCCACAGCACTGAGGTGTGGGCCACAGCAGTGTAGCGTGGGCCACAGCAGTGTAGCGTGGGCCACAGCAGTGTAGCGTGGGCCACAGCAGAGGTGTGGGCCACAGCAGTGTAGCGTGGGCCACAGCACTGAGGTGTGGGCCACAGCAGTGTAACGTGGGCCACAGCAGTGTAGCGTGGACCACAGCACTGAGGTGTGAGCCACAGCAGTGTAGCGTGGGCCACAGCAGTGTAGCGTGGGCCACAGCACTGAGGGTGGGCCACAGCAGTGTAGCGTGGGCCACAGCACTGAGGTGTGGGCCACAGCAGTGTAACGTGGGCCACAGCAGTGTAACGTGGGCCACAGCAGTGTAGCGTGGGCCACAGCAGTGTAGCGTGGGCCACAGCACTGAGGTGTGGGCCACAGCAGTGTAACGTGGGCCACAGCAGTGTAACGTGGGCCACAGCAGTGTAGCGTGGGCCACAGCACTGAGGTGTGGGCCACAGCAGTGTAGCGTGGGCCACAGCACTGAGGTGGGGCCACAGCAGTGTAGCGTGGGCCACAGCACTGAGGTGTGGGCCACAGCAGTGTAGCGTGGGCCACAGCACTGAGGTGTGGGCCACAGCAGTGTAGCGTGGGCCACAGCACTGAGGTGTGGGCCACAGCAGTGTAGCGTGGGCCACAGCACTGAGGTGTGGCCACAGCAGTGTAGCGTGGGCCACAGCACTGAGGCGTGGGCCACAGCAGTGTAGCGTGGGCCACAGCACTGAGGCGTGGGCCACAGCAGTGTAGCGTGGGCCACAGCACTGAGGTGTGGGCCACAGCAGCTGAACAAGGAAGTACAAAATCGCTGTGACCGGCGAGGTTACAAACAACCAAACTACCACAACCCATTCCTCGTCCAGTCATACCACACCCAGCAAGCTGTGTAGGCCTACAGGCCTGGGTAACGTTGAGAATCACAAGTTAAAGGAGTGAAGGAAAGGGAAACAGTGAAGGTTATTGGTTTTGTATCCCTCACCTGTCAAGTTCCGCCAGAACTTGCAACTCTTGAGGTGTCAAGTTTATTTCCTCCGTCGTCTCCGTTACCTCCATCTTGGGCACCGTTTAAGCACTTAACTGTGGTTCCATATGGATAAGATACACTCACTGTAAAGGTAAATCACTCATATTCACTGGGAACTCTTTACGGAGAGCACATCTACACTGCACCAGAACAACTTTACAAGTACACGCTGAGTGAGCGCTGCAGGACCACCCAAGTCTCGCTTCCCAACAACAATGCCATCTCACCATTTATATTACATTTAATTTACCTCTTAGTTTATTTAAAGAACACTTTCGTCTTTCAGAGTTGATATTAATGGAATTTTTATATCTGTCTACTATAATAAATTCTCAACTCTATTTACACAGGAATGGCAGAAAAAGCATCTCAAAATATGGCATCTCCATTGTATTATTTTTATAAAATTTCAGCCATGATTCTTGCTTTTCCTTTAAATGTAATGAGGCGCTGCTGGTTTAAAACAAAACATGCTGTTGATCTAGGCAGCTATTTATTAAAAACTGAGTGAGATAGAGGCAAGAGAGTGTAAGAGGAGATGGCAGGTGTCTGGGTTCCCACCTGCCCCTGCGACTCTGTGTTGACCTTCCCAGGAGTTCACCCACTCCAGCCTCACAACATACAACACATACTCTTAAAACAAAGATGCATCATCACAATTTCTCAAACTTACAATTTTTCTAACAACACTCAACACGGACGCATACATAAAAAAATTTGACATTGGTGGATTATTTATTATTTGAGGTGTTACGCGTAATTTCTTAGTTTGGGATGAAAAATCATTATTATTGGAATCTGGGCGTCATTGTAAGTGTTGTCATCAGCTGGTGAAGACTGAGAAGGTGCGGCTGTTGTGCATCATCAGGTACTTCATATATGCTCGGTATTACGTATATAACGTCTCTCTCACACCTGCTTGTCATGGCTGGGATGACTATAGTGACAGCTGCCACCAATATCAGCCTTGTCAGTCTGATACGAGTGTTATAGGGACGTTTTGTATTCATCCCTCGAGTTTCGTAGTAAGAATGAAGGTTAGACAGCATAATAATTATGTCCAGCTTGGTGATTAACACCGACAAGTATATGAGAGAGACGTATGTGAGAGTCAAGACACTGAGGATAGATTTCACCCAAAATGGGGATTTTCAGCCCCCTAGTGGGCAAAACATATCCTCATATCCTTATATTTCAGCTACACATAAGTACTGTTATCATGTATATGTAAATTACCAGGCATAACCCCAAAAGTCAGACTGGCTTATTTCCATAAGAGTTTTTTGTATTTTTAACCCGGGGTAGGGAAGGTTAGCCACCCAACAAAACCCAATAAAGTGTGGCAGATACACTCCTGGTGGCTGGTGTTAGTGTTGCTGAACCTCTTGAGGTTGCCATGGAAATTGGGAACTATCATGTCGGTCTCTCCCAAGGGCTTCACCTGTCCCTTGCTTCTCACAGCTAAGTCTGCCAGGGAGCGGTCGCCCTTGGATTTCTCGGCTAATGGGATGGAGCCATGTAACGTACCTTTTACTCTTAGAGCTAGGGTCCATGCTTTCCACTTGGCGGTCATTGGCAGCTTGGCCCAATAATGTTCATATCCGTATGCTACAGCCCTTGCAGTCCTTTTGCACCTTCTCAATCTTGTTTGGACACAAAGGGTTCTCCCTCAACAGTGGAAATCTGCCATTGTACTTCAGTTCCGCAAACCAGGCACTTCGGGGCTTGATACCTCTCGGAATCGTCCCATTGCTCTGACCAGTGTAGTCTGCAAGGTGATGGAACGATTAGTGAATAGATGTGTGATATGGTATTTGGAGACTCACAATAGTCTTTCTGAAAGTTAAGACACATGTGCAACATCTGGATATCTTTATTGTAGACGTTTCGCCATCCAGTGGCTTTATCAATACAGATTCTAGGACATAATTAGAAGATGGTAGAACTATATACAAAAGATGAGGTAATCAGTCCCTCAGTCTTGGAGTTAGTGTTCACAGCATCGTGGTGGTGGATAATCTGGAACAAAGGCAAGAAGACTGGCGGGTATATAGGTGTCAGTGGATAAGGACATGTAGCATAGTCACTGGTAGGCAGGATTCCCCAGTGGAAGTAGGTCCTACCCAAAGGGATGGGTTAGTTGTAGTAGCCGTGAAGGTCTTGTAGATGTCCTCTTCTTGCTTTTGCTCCAGATTCTCCTCCACCACGATGCTGTGAACACAAACTCCAAGGCTGAGGGACTGATTACCTCATCTTTTGTATATAGTTCTACTGTCTTCTAATTATATCCTAGAATCTGTATTGATAAAGCCACTGGATGGCGAAACGTCTACAATAAAGACATCCAGATGTTGCACATGGGTCTTAACTTTCATGTTGTGGGTATTTTATACCTTTCTTGCACAAGTGTCTTTCTTACCAATATGGCTTTCGCAAGGGCTGCTCTACTTTGGACCCCTTGCTCCACTTAGATACTTATGTGTGAAATGCCCTTGCTAATAAACACTCCATCCTAGCAGTCTTTTTTGACCTCAAGAAGGTATGACACCACCTGGAGGTATAACATCTTTGCCCAGGCCCACTCCTTAGGCCTCCTCGGTAATCTACTGACCTTCCTGGCTGCTTTCTTATCTGAAAGACATTTTTGTGTCCGTATTGGCACCTCACTTTCCTCAGACTTTGTTCAGGCTGAAGGGGTCCAACAGTGTTGTCCTTAGTACTACCTTTTTCCCCCTTCAAAGGTAGCTTGCCATGGTCGGCTGAATCTCCTTAAAATTCTTGCGCATCGTTCATGGGGAGCAGATCGCCGGACTCTCCTCCGTTTGCATTCCACTCTAGTCTTGTCCAAGCTGGATTATGGTGACCAAGTCTATTCTGCGGCTTCTACAACTCAGTTAGATCCCCTTTTCATCGGGCTGTTTTTTTGCCTTGGGCCTTTTTTTTCATCCCCTATTTAAACCCCCTAGGAAGCGAATGTTTCCTCAGTGATGCCATTGCCCTTTATTTCTTTGCCACCCCCTTAAACCTTCGTGTTCCCCTTTTATGTATAGGTTTGTCTCATGTTAGTAGAAGCCCGTTATTTGTTTGGCACCCCCGCTTACTCCGACCGTTTTCCCCTCATCTTCACTCCAGTCTTCTCTCTAGTTGCCTCCCTTGTATGTTCATATAGCGTCTGCCTTTTCCCTTCCCTCTTGGAGGGTTTTGACGGGTTCGTGTCTGTTCTTTTCCCACACCGGGCCAAACTCTCCTACCTATGGCTGTTCTTGCTCTTTTTCTTGATCACTTCTGTCACATGCACATGCCATCGCTGTTTATACAGATGGTTCTAAATCTTCTGACGGTGTTGGGTTCGTGGCAGTCTTCCCTGATGGTGTTGTGCGGGGATCATTTGTTACTCGGCTAGTATTTGTACCGCTGAGTTGTATGCCATCCTCTAGCATTTCGTGTATTAGACTTTCAACTTTGACATTTATGATCTTTTCAGTTCCCTCACACTTTACAGCCAAATAAACTTTTTAATTCCCTTCATCCATTAGTCCTTAAATTTTAAATTTTGTTTGCACTTTGGGCTACAAAACAGACACATTTTCTGTTGGTCCCGGGAAAAATGAGTGCAGGGCAATGAACAATGGATGCGCTGCACGGTCACTTTTTCATGATCTTCGGGTTTTTCCAAGAGGTTTTCTTTTCAGGATTATTATACATCATTTTTGCTCATCTTCACGCCACTGGAAACATGGAGTTGAACATGCCCTATTGAAAAATTGCACCTTTCTCTTTTACGAGTCCATCATCTTACACCGTTGTGTTCCGGAGACTGGCCCCCATCTCCGCATCGGGCCCTACTTGCCTTTCCCATGGGGACCTAGGAACAAACCCTATCCTCTATGAGGTTGTCGGGTCCTATTTCGATTCTTCACTTTTTGTGGAGTGTCCGGGTTTTCCAAAGAGCTCACAGGATTTTCCTCTGACCACACCCTACCACTCTTACCTTACTTTTCCTTTTTGCAAAGGCCCCGACTTTGACTTTTGATCACTTTATTTTGACTTTTTGTCAGCAAACCTTTTCATACAAACTTTGATGCATAGCCCCCAGCTCCCTTTGAGCCATTCTCCCTTAACCCTAAACCCCCCACCTACTATTTATAGCCCCACCTATTTTTTGCCCCAGCGCTGCATGACCCCCTTTCGGTTTAGCGCCTTATTATATTCAATTATAAAATAATGCTCCATTTTATGAAAAATTTTTAAATTTCTAGCAGCTTTCCATTTTATTAGCAAACTTTAAAAATCCTATAAAGTGCACAGAAGTTGGTAATATAGCCAATTTTACACAATTTAAAAAATTCCAATTTAAAAACAGAGCCCAAAATAAACACTGTAGACATTTTTCATTGTCTTCCATTCTATGAACCAACCATCCAGGGAAAATCCCAAAGTTATACACTCGAAGTCATCCTATCTTCCATGCCTTTCATGGTGTCTGAACCATTCCGATAACCCCTCCATTGCTTTCTAAATTACATCTTTCATGCCATTGTATCATTTGATTTCTTGACCCCTTATTCTCTGCATAATATTCATGCCACATTGATCTCCAGCACATCTATACTCTTCACTGCCTCCTCACTGCAGCATAATTTAAAACGAAATTATTACTATGAATTCCTTAATATTGAGGGGCATTGTACATGGTTTCATTATTGCAGACACAACAGCAGGTTGTTGTGCATCTGACACTTGATATGGGAGGAAGTGGCCAGGCTAAACTGAAAAAGCCAAACGAAGAGGAGGAGTTTGAGGTCCTTGATGTAAGAGGAACTGCTCGTAACGGGATGTCGTGGCTCCAAGAGTTTATGCATGATTTGACCCAGCAGCCTGTCACAAAGCAAGTCGCTGTTGGTGGTTTGTCAGGATGGTAAGTTGTGTGTACCTAAGTTTATCTCTGTTAATGGTTCTGGGGATTAGTGCCCCTATGGCCTAGTCCTGGTGCAGGAATGAAAACTACTGCATTAAAAAACACACTAAATTAGAGAAAAGTGTATAACAAATGTAAGCAGAAGCTTGTAAGATTTCCTTGTCATTTTATATATGAAGCAAATCCTGTCAAGGTGCAAATTATTTAACAGCTTCCATTTCACTTGTATGAGAGAGTAATAGTACAGGAGGGCTCTGCTTATACAGGAAGTTAGGTTCTGGGCTACTGCTGTAAAGCTAAAATCACTATAAAGTGAAACGTAGCCTTTTCCCTTTCAAATGCATATAAAAGCCTGATAATGTGTTTACACTATCATGTATTAAGTGATCAATAGAGATAGGCCTAAAAAATGCATATACAGTACACACACTACTTCTTCTTTCAACACACCGCCCGTATCCCACCGAGGCGGGGTGGCCCAAAAGGATAAATGAAAGTTTCTCCTTTTACATTTAGTAATATATACAGGAGAAGGGGTTACTAACCCCTTGCTCCTGGCATTTTAGTCGCCTCTTACAACACGCATGGCTTACGGAGGAAGAATTCTGTTCCACTTCCCCATGGAGGTAAGAGGAAATAAACAAGAACAAGAACTAGAAAGAAAATAGAAGAAAACTCAAAGGGGTGTGTATATATATGCTTGTACATGTATGTGTAGTGTGACCTAAGTGTAAGTAGAAGTAGCAAGATGTACCTGAAATCTTGCATGTTTATTTCGTTTTACACTCGCTTGGCAGGACGGTAGTACCTCCCTGGGCGGTTACTGTCTACCAACCTACTACCTAGGACACATTACTTACCTTAAAATATTTTTTGTCTTTAACTTATAGTGAGTAGGAAGTCTAAATAAATGAAGGGGCATAATTGAAAATAGCTGCATTAGCAAAATGCAGTAAAATGAACCACTGTAAAGCAGGGCCCTCCTGTAATGTGCCTCTTTGGATGGTTACTGTGTATCAGTCCACTATATTATTGCTGCTGTAATAGTGATAGTCTGCTCACCTGTGTCTGCAATTAGGTTTTTTTTTTTTTTTTACAAACCAGCTGTATTCCACCAAGGCAGCGTGGCCCAAAATGAAAAACGAAAGTTTTTCTTATTGTTTATTTGTGTAGGCACATTGTAACATTTTTCCCCTGATATCCATATAACAGGTTTTTTTTTTGTTTCACTTTCCTTCTAACATTTCTCAGTAGTTAAAGGTGGTTGAAATATTTTAAGCTAACCTATTAATTAGAGATAAATCTTGAGATGGCATTTTTGGATTGTCCTAGACTTGATAATGGTCCAGAATATGCCAAAACATTGTCTAAATATTTACCTTAAATTTGTTAGTTATTTTTCCAGCCATAGTATTGACATTGATTTTCTTTGAGGTTGTAATGTATTAGAAGGCAGTTCCCATGTGGGAAAATAAATTGTAGGTATGTAGAGGCTTTGAGTTCCTAGTAAAAGAAATGACTACATCATGTACTCTTGCAGGGTTGTAGGATACTTATCAATGAAGGTGGGCAAAGTTGCTGCAACAGTAGTTGGTGGAAGCCTTCTCATCATGCAACTGGCTGCCCATAAAGGATATATAAAAGTACTGTATACTATATATTATTTATTTCATGTATGCGTAGGTGATACATACTTTGGTATAGAGTTAACTATTGAAGCTTACACTAAAATAAGCCTCATGGACATTAAAATATATATTTATGATACTCTACAATATGCATTTTGTAGGTGGATTGGAATAAAGTGAACAGGGAACTTGAGAAGAATGCTAAGAAGCTGAAGCAAGAGGTAGAGTCCACTGTGAATGCTGGAGCTACAGATGAGGTCTGTTAAGAATCTTGATGTATTTTTTATTTTTGCACATTCGTTTCAGCATTTCTTTATGATGTTTTGTTCTTTTGTAGTAGTCTGCACGACAAGTAGCTTAATGCTTGATAGATAAGTGTTTTCCCTACCTGTTAATGAAATACTTTAAATTTTATTCTTAATACTGTACACGGAAATACAGGTTAAATGACTAGAGTGGGCTGCTCTGAGTAGCATGAGCTTTCAAACTTTCATATGATTTTGTCTATTGTAAATCAATGTTTTGGATACATATTATCAAATACTGTAATCAGAATGTAAAATGCACCTAAGGATTTTTTTAAATGATCATATATTTGATACGTATTGGTCATTAACATATTTTCTTCATATTCGACCTTTGCCATGTACACCAGAACATCAGTAATATGGAATGTTTGGGACTAAGATATGCCCAGCTTGGGAGCATTGAAAAAATACAAATTTTAGAGATGCAAGCTGTGCTTTTCAGGCACTATTTGTATGGTCACAACAAACTTCTGTGCAAAATTTCAGACCATTTCATGCCCATTTGCCCTGCTGCATCGCGATTGACTTCGTCAAATTGTACATCATTGAAAGCAATTAGTTATAATTTATTGGTTGTCAGGATAATGAAGTGTACATGGTTTATATCATTAACACAAAGCGCCAATGTGAAAAACAGTACAGAATGGGTCAAATAACTAGAGACTAGTCTAAACGTTACTCATCAGCTCTTACCAGCCTGATAAGAAAGTCTAAAAAATTGAAATGTGGAAACAGGTTGCATAACATCTAAGGTGATATGGAAAAGACCTAGAAAACTGTCTAAAATTCTAGGGACTAAATAGATATCCAAAAAACAAAACAATCAAATTAACAAAATGAGACTAACCCCTACTCCCACCAACTGAAACAGCAAACACTCAATGTTTTCTTCTCCACTATAGGAAAGAACCTAGCGAGCAAAATCCCAAGCTCAAGCACCCGTCCATCAGACTACCTCATGGGCACCTACCCAAATACACTATTCCTAGCTCCTACCAATCCAACAGAAGTCTCACTCATCATCAATATCCTTAAAAACAAGGCAGGAGACATAAACAACTTGCTGACATTAATGTACAAAAAGGCTTCTCAAGTGTTGTCACCATTTATTGCAATACTTTAACAAATCCATTGAATCCTCCACCTTCCCAGCAATTCTCAAAATAGCGAGGGTCACCCCGATCTACAAAGGAGGTGACTAAGCTGACTTGAATAACTATAGACCAAAATCTAACTTACCACTGCTCTCTAAAATCTTCAAGAGGCCACTACCTCAACTACCTAAAGTCATACCTTAGTAACAGAAGCCAATATTTATATTATTTTTATTATCACATTGGCCGATTCTCACCAAGGCAGGGTGGCCCGAAAAAGAAAAACTTTCACCATCATTCACTCCATCACTGTCTTGCCAGAAGGGTGCTTTACACTACAGTTTTTAAACTGCAACATTAACACCCCTCCTTCAGAGTGCAGGCACTGTACTTCCCATCTCCAGGACTCAAGTCCGGCCTGCCGGTTTCCCTGAACCCCTTCATAAATGTTGCTTTGCTCACACTCCAACAGCACGTCAAGTATTAAAAACCATAAAACCATTTGTCTCCATTCACTCCTATCAAACACGCTCACGCATGCCTGCTGGAAGTCCAAGCCCCTCGCACACAAAACCTCCTTTACCCCCTCCCTCCAACCTTTTCTAGGCCGACCCCTACCCCGCCTTCCTTCCACTACAGACTGATACACTCTTGAAGTCACACTGTTTCGCTCCATTCTCTCTACATGTCCGAACCACCTCAACAACCCTTCCTCAGCCCTCTGGACAACAGTTTTGGTAATCCCGCACCTCCTCCTAACTTCCAAACTACGAATTTTCTGCATTATATTCACACCACACATTGCCCTCAGACATGACATCTCCACTGCCTCCAGCCTTCTCCTCGCTGCAACATTCATCACCCGTGCTTCACACCCATATAAGAGCGTTGGTAAAACTATACTCTCATACATTCCCCTCTTTGCCTCCAAGGACAAAGTTCTTTGTCTCCACAGACTCCTAAGTGCACCACTCACTCTTTTTCCCTCATCAATTCTATGATTCACCTCATCTTTCATAGACCCATCCGCTGACACGTCCACTCCCAAATATCTGAATACATTCACCTCTTCCATACTCTCTCCCTCCAATCTGATATCCAATCTTTCATCACCTAATCTTTTTGTTATCCTCATAACCTTACTCTTTCCTGTATTCACTTTTGATTTTCTTCTTTTGCACACCCTACCAAATTCATCCACCAATCTCTGCAACTTCTTTTCAGAATCTCCCAAGAGCAGTGTCATCAGCAAAGAGCAACTGTGACAACTCCCACTTTGTGTGTGATTCTTTATCTTTTAACTCCACGCCTCTTGCCAAGACCCTCGCATTTACTTCTCTTACAACCCCATCTATAAATATATTAAACATCCACGGTGACATCACACATCCTTGTCTAAGGCCTACTTTTACTGGGAAATAATTTCCCTTTCCTACATACTCTAACTTGAGCCTCACTATCCTCGTAAAAACTCTTCACTGCTTTCAGTAACCTACCTCCTACACCATACACCTGCAACATTTGCCACATTGCCCCCCTATCCACCCTGTCACATGCCTTTTCCAAATCCATAAATGCCACAAAGACCTCTTTAGCCTTATCTAAATACTGTTCACTTATATATTTCACTGTAAACACCTGGTCCACACACCCCCTACCTTTCCTAAAACCTCCTTGTTCATCTGCTATCCTATTCTCCGTCTTACTCTTAATTCTTTCAATAATAACTCTACCATACACTTTACCAGGTATACTCAACAGACTTATCCCCCTATAATTTTTGCACTCTCTTTTGTCCCCTTTGCCTTTATACAAAGGAACTATGCATGCTCTCTGCCAATCCCTAGGTACCTTACCCTCTTCCATACATTTATTAAATAATTGCACCAACCACTCCAAAACTATATCCCCACCTGCTCTTAACATTTCTATCTTTATCCCATCAATCCCGGCTGCCTTACCCCCTTTCATTTTACCTACTGCCTCACGAACTTCTCCCACACTCACAACTGGCTCTTCCTCACTCCTACAAGATGTTATTCCTACTTGCCCTATACACGAAATCACAGCTTCCCTGTCTTCATCAACATTTAACAATTCCTCAAAATATTCCCTCCATCTTCCCAATACCTCTAACTCTCCATTTTTTTTTGTAACTCTCCTCTTCTATTTTTAACTGATAAATCTAGGCTTCCTTAACTTGTTAATCTCACTCCAAAACTTTTTCTTATTTTCAACAAAATTTGTTGATAACATCTCACCCACTCTCTCATTTGCTCTCTTTTTACATTGCTTCACCACTCTCTTAACCTCTCTCTTTTTCTCCATATACAGTGGACCCTCGACCAGCGATGGCATCGATTAACGATAAATCTGACTAGCGATACATTTTATCGCAAAAATTTTGCCTCGATTAGCTCTAAAAAAAACTTGACCAACACTATTCCTTCCGTCTGAGACGTGTCCACTTCTGGCCAGTGTTTACAAGCCAGCCAGCCACCGCGGTCGCTTCCAAGCATACAATCGGAACATTTCATATTATCACAGCCTTTTTAGTGATTGCACCTGCAAAATAAGTCACCATGGGCCCCAAGAAAGCTTCTAGTGCCAACCCTACAGCAAAAAGGGTGAGAATTACTATGGATATAAAGAAAGAGATCATTGCTAAGTATGAAAGTGAAGTGCATGTCTCCGAGCTGGCCAGGCTGTACACAAAACCCCAATCAACCATCGCTACTATTGTGGCCAAGAAAACGGCAATCAAGGAAGCTGTTCTTGCCAAAGGTGCAACTATTTTTTTGAAACTGAGATCGCAAGTGATAGAAGATGTTGAGAGACTGTTATTGGTATGGATAAACGAAAAACAGATAGCAGGAGATAGCATCTCTCAAACGATCATATGTGAAAAGGCTAGGAAGTTGCATGACGATTTAATTAGAAAAATGCCAGCAACTAGTGGTGATGTGAGTGAATTTAAGGCCAGCAAAGGTTGGTGTGAGAGATTTAATTATCGTAGTGGCATACATAGTGTGATAAGGCATGGTGAGGCTGCCAGTTTGGACCAAAAAGCAGCTGAAAAATATGTGCAGGAATTCAAGGAGTACATAGAGAGTGAAGGACTGAAACCTGAACAAGTGTTTAATGGTGACACTGACAATGTTGTGAAACACGTTAGGAATGTCATAAAGGAACGGGAGGTACAGGCCTCTATGGGCAGATATGTTGTGCGACAGAGGTCCAGTGACTCTCAAGCTGGTCCTAGTGGCATTAAAAGAAGGGAAGTAACCCCGAAAAAGGACTTGCCACCTCAAGTCCTAATGGAAGGGGATTCCCCTTCTAAACAAAAAGACCATCAACACACTCCCCTCTTCCCATCCCATCAATCATCACCAGATCTTCAATAAAGGTAAGTGTCATGTAACTGTGCATGTCTTCTTCAGTTTGTGTGTATTAAAATTAATATTTCATGTTTTAAAAATTTAGTTTTTTCAATACTTTTGGGTGTCTTGCACGGATTAATTTGATTTCCATTGTTTCTTATGGGGAAAATTAACTTGACTAACGATTATTTTGACTAACGATGAGCTCTCAGGAACGGATTAATAGTGTTAGTCGAGGGTCCACTGTATTCTTCCCTCCTTGCATCACTTCTACTTTGTAAAAACTTCTCATATGCTAACTTTTTCTCCCTTACTACTCTCCTTACATCATCATTCCACCAATCGCTCCTCTTCCCTCCCGCACCCACTTTCCTGTAACCACAAACTTCTGCTGAACACTCTAACACTGCATTTTTAAACCTACCCCATACCTCTTCGACCCCATTGCCTATGCTCTCATTAGCCCATCTATCCT